TGGATACTCTACAGCAGGGGTCGGCAACGTTGGCACGCAGCTCGCCAGGGTAAGCACCCTGGCGGGCCGGGCCAGTTTTATTTACCTGCTGACGCGGCAGGTTCGGCCGATCGCGGCCCCCACTGGCCGCGGTTCGCCATCCTGGGCCAATGGGGGCAACGGGAAGTGGCGCGGGCGAGCGATATGCTGGCCGCAGCTTCCCGCCGCCCCCATTGGCCCGGGACGGCGAACCGCGGCCAGTGGGAGCCGCGATCGGCCGAACCTGCCGCGTCAGCAGGTAAATAAAACTGGCCCGGCCCGCCAGGGTGCTTACCCTGGTGAGCCGCGTGCCGAACGTTGCCGACCCCTGCTCTACAGGGAAAGAAGTTGTAATGAAGTGGTGGCATGAGAAAATGAAAGTATGACTTTGGATTTCAAGAGACATTGATAGGTAGATGGTTAGAAGGGATTACTGATATTTATTTATATATTATGATTTTGAATATTCATGACTCAATATTAAGTTTGCACAGTCTATGAACCACCTTAGTGACATTGTTACCCTTATCCTCCCCCATTTCTTCCAATTGTTTGTTAAACCCATTTGTTGTATCTTGTTTTACATTAAATTATAAAAATCCTCAATGCAGGATCTTGTGCGTTTGTATAGCAACTAGCAAAACAGAGTCCTGATTTTGATTGGAGGCACTGAGTGTTACCATAATACAAATAATTAAGTAGAGGTGATGCAATAGTATATCTGAGATGGCAATAGGCAGACTTACTGATCTAGGACACTGGGAAAGAGAAAAAGTTCAGGGTTCAGGATATCACCAGGATTACAGTTAGTAAAGAAAAATTGGAGGTTTGGGTCAAGGAAGATGAAACAGGCAAAGAAGCTATTACTTATTTCCTAAATTGTGTGGGAATTTTTAGTGCTTTGACACACCCTAGAAGTCCTCTATTTATTAACAGAGTGAGAATAGCATGGACCACAGCAGAGCAAACTTCTCCATATGGCCATAGCAATTCTGATCTGGATGCGCCATCTCTAGAGGTGAGAGGATTATTCAGTCTCTGTGCCCATTCAATTTTTGGTCTGACAGCTGTGGTACAAATTGCCTTCAACTAGAAATTGGACTAAGAGCAACCTAATTTCACAAGACATCCGTGAGAATTTTTAGTCGTGAGGGCTGACTGTCTTGGGACTTGTAATGTAGAGGTGAAAACTCTGGTCTTGATTCTGAACTCACACCAGTGTAAATTAGGAGTGACCTCAGAGAAGTCACTAGAGCTAAACCCTGTAACACAATGTCATTTCTAATCCCCTGGTCAATCCAGTTCTCCAGGGAATTGAGAATGGTCAGTTATGTTCATATTTCTCCATATTTATGAAAGATGCTAATAATTTTCTTTTGGGGGATGTTGCCACATTAGGTTAAAAAAAAGGAGGTTTTAGACCACAATAGAATAGTTTTGCCATTTATTTTAAGAGAAAAGTTATTGTAATGACATAAGGGACACCCGAATTTTTGAAACTTCAGTATTGTATTATGCCTGCATTGCCCTAACATTGCCAGCCACTGGCCTGCACTCTGTCTTTCCATGGGATTAACAAGTACTGCTCATATGTAGTATTTGGTAAGTATGTGCCTGTCATTTTCAGAAAAATACAGGATATAGAATGAGAATAATTTTCCAGTTTATGATCTCATCTCACACCCACGAAAATTCTTCTGTAACTAGATATTTCTGGATATTTGGGAGTCCAATCCTGTGAAGTGCTGAGCATTCTCAACTCCCATTAACTTCAGTAACTCTTCTTAACCTGTGCATGTATGGCTGAAATATACAGCTCATGTGATTGATTGCCAAAATAAATAAATAAAACATTCTCAGTTCAAGGACTATGTAAATCATGCCACTTATTACTGCAGTTTTCTACTTTTCTAATTTCCTCTCAGTCTGAGCTAGCATCTCTCTAACAAACATTCAGGCTGGATTTCAGAAGGGCTGCATGTGTAATTGAGAATCATGAGACCCTAGCTTCTAGAAGGTCATTTTGATCCTGCACATTGCAGGGTTCAGATAGTCATCCAAAACACTGGTTGGGAAACAGATTTACACTATTTCCTTGGTTTTCAATGATCAAATATACTATAAGAACTTCTCACCATATTTCAGTACTTCAGTCTGTGCAAAATGAGGAAACAGAGTGGAAAACAAGTGTCATAAAACTCTTCTGAAGGACAAGAAATTGTTAGCTTGCATTTTAGATTTTTTTTTTAAAAAAAAGCTTAAAACCCTTTCCCTCCTTACTCCCTGCTTTCAAATTTAAATGGTATTTCCCATACAATATTTTCTTAATAGACAAAATAGATAATTGATGATTAGCAGATTGAGCAGTAGTACTCTCTAATTTTCAGACATGAGAGCTTATACAGATGATAAAGGACTGTGTATTAATGAAAATCAACTGCATCATATTGTTGACTCAAACTAATTTGTGATCCACTATAACCCTCAGATCCTTTTCAGCAGTACTACCACCTAGCCAGTTATTCCCCTTTTGTAGTTGTGCATTTGATTTGTCCTTCCCAAGTGAAGTACTTTGCATTTGTCTTTACTGAATTCCATCTTACTGAATTCAGACCAGTTCTCCAATTCATCAAGGTCATTTTGAATTCTAACCCTGTCCTCCAAAGTGCTTGTAATCTCTCCCAGCTTGGTGTCATCTGCAAATTGTGTAAGCACACTCTCCACTTTGTAATTCAGGTCATTAATGAACATTAAATAGTACCACACCCAGGACTTACCCCTGGGGATCCCACTAGCTATGCACTCCCAATTTGATAGTGAACCACTGACAACTACTCTGAGTACCATCTTTCAGCTAGTTGTGTACCCACCTTATAGTAATTTTGCTCTAGTCCAGTTGTGTAAATACTTTTCTATAGCTTCACCTTAGCAATGTAGTATATGATTTCATCTAACACAATGAAAGAGGCTTATTTCAGTGGTTCTCCAACAATTCCATTCTGTGGATCACTTCATAACAAAGATCACTTTCATCCACTTCTCTCCCCCTCCTTCTCTACGGCGTGGTTCTCAAATGGTTTAATTCTGTAGATCTCTAGAAAGAACTTGGAGGACCACCTGTGGTGCACCGACTGTAGTTCCAGGACCATTGTCTTATACGAAGGAAGTCCATTGCATCGTTCTGAACCACAGCAGCAAATATGAATACCAGTACAAAGAGTAAGAAAATGAATTAAGGCCCCGCCCACGACACATTCTATTTTCTACAAGAGCAGTAACCCCAGATATTCAGCCAAATCCTGCTGAAAAAATCTTTGGAAGTCAGTAAGAAAAGGATCTGAAGTTATTTATATGTACACCTATCTGTGTCTCCTCCTATCATCTTAGAATGCAACTGTATTGAGAAATCACATACAGGACCCAGTGTACCATAGAACTCAAATGAGCATGTGTTGAAACACTATGATGGAAAGAGATATCCTGGATGACAAAGGTAACGTATTAGTACACTCTAAAATATATCAGACTTACATATTTGATATTTTGCATTAAAATTATTTTGTTTTATTTTACTTTTATTTAAAACAAATGTTTGGAGACTGCTCCTCCCCGAGAGTTTAATGGACTGTTAGTCATTACATTGAACAACCTGGTCTCTTTCTAAAAAGATCTTTGTCTTTAGTCGAAGGAGCAGTTTAACATTTATATTTTAGGCTGCTTTGTAATGTGGCTAATTCACAGTTCAAGTACCTGAGAGAAGACTAGTAAGAGAATAGAACAGCCTATAGAAGCAAATCACCACATCAAATTGAAAACAAAGGTAAAAAGATAAGTATTTTGAGAGGCTAAGGGACTATCCCTTCATTTAGTATTAAGCCTTGCTGAGAAAACCACCACAAATCAAACTGCCCTTTTTTTTTTTTTTTTAAAGTAGTTTTGCCATGATTATTTGGAGGGGAAAAAAAGCTAGGAAACAAGTCAGACTCAAATGAAAATGTATTTCACTCTTATACATGCTATACATGTCATGCAAGTGAGGTAATCTACAGGTTATACAATGACACCATAATAAAATATAACATCTCAGGTGACATCTGCCAAACACAATATATCAAGCAAAACAAACATGATTAGTTTGTTTTGGTTTTTTTTTATTATTATTTAGGAAACAACTGTAGGACTAATTTGGAAGACACAATACCATGCTACAGCTTACTGAACAGTCACTAGAAAGGTATTTTGCTGAAGTACACCAACATAAAAAGAACTATTGTTATAGGCATGTTTTCTTTATATACTCACACACAGGTTCATTGGCTACTTCAATTTTTAAACAGTTGCTGGCTTTAAAAGCAGAAGAACGTGGCTACAATTGAGACCAAGCTACACTGTAAACTTCTCTACATATAAAAGTTTCTACTTTTTTGTTAGTCTCCAAACAGAATTGTAGTGACTTTTTTAAAAGATTTGGACAAAAATGTCCTCTAGGCAGCACAGAATATAGGATAAAAGTTACCATAGTTCACCAAAAGAAATAAAACTAACCAAAATACATTGTATGGCACATAATGTCTACATTTTACATTCTTGATATGAATTTTCCCAAATAGATGTTTGTTGAGTACTAAGGAGGCTAATATTGTTATATAGGTGAAAATACTATGTGAGAGAGAGAGAGTGTCTCAGACTTAGTATTTCCATTGCAATATCTGTATATTGTTTTACCGCTGATTATATTTTTTGTTGAGTCTGTAGGAAGACACAAAATAGTTGTCTACATGAATGAAAGCCTGCTGGTATTAATAACTGATCTCAAATAGTTAACTCAACATTTATCTGAACCCCATGACATACTTGCTTAGAACTACTGCAGTTATGGAATACATATTAAAGAACTGTAATGGGTATTATGCCTACATTGTCTACAAGTGTTATATCAAGGGAGTTTTAAAGACTTCAGCAAGAGTCAACTCAAGGCTTTATTAGTACTGTATTAACAAACTGCTTTGTCACTATTGACTTTAAAAAAAAGACAAAATAATCATGTGTGATGCATTGTAGCAGGGGGATAAATCTAACCCTCCACAGTCTGTAAGGAGGCTCCTTTGATTCCAGCAGTTGAATAATTATTTGTTTTCATGCTTCCTCAGTTCTAGTTTTGCAATTATACACCTGCAAAAAAGAGTTGCCGAGAACTCTTCAGTATTTTTCCCCATTTAAAAAAATAGGCACAGAGCTAAAGTACAGTACATTATTTAATTTCAACGCACTGTGGGCAAACCTCATAGTATTTACAAGAAAATGACATCGAGTACTTGTATGATAAAACTGAAGGAAGAATGATTTTAAAATAAAATGCACAGGGTAAAAATCACAGTGAAGTATTTAGATGAAATTTAAATTAAAAAAAAAAGTAGTAAGAGCTTTATTAGCAGCTGAAGCCCAAATTGTAAAGCACAATGAATCTTCCCTGAAACTAATCAAGGCTATAGATTCCTGGCATCTACGAAGAACAGCCAGTTATTCAACATACCACTTGGGAAGACAAAGTTATATTCAGCTCTGATTATGTGAAATCCAGTGTTCAAAGACTGCAGAAGCTCTTTCAGATGACAAGCTCATATTTTACTGCCAGCAGCATGACAGGACGTATATCCTCCATAAATACTTCCTCTGTCAATTAAAAACACACCCAAACAGTTTATGCAAGTAAAATGGCTCCAATTTTTATAACTGAGAACTGATTCTCTTGCAATAAAGTACAATGCTACAATTAACGTTAAGACTATCAGTATATCATACTGTATGTCACTTAGCTTGCAGACTTTCCAGGAAAAGGACTGTTACTTAACTGTCTGTACAATGCTGCGTACATCTACAGCACTGAACCATAATAAATGGCAATCACTACCACATTCCACATTGTTGCATACTTAACTGGTCCTGCTTTTAAGTGTTCTCTCTTTGTTATTAAATTGAAATGAGATATAATTAAGGACTATCATAACTAATAGGGAAGGGTGCATAGTTCTTTCACGAAAAGAGAACACACATCTATATTTTTCATTATACCCTGAGTTTATCACTGAAATGTTTAAGTTAAACAGGTAGCTTCAATTGCTTTAATGTAACTGATTTGGGTACCAGTGCAGATCAACAAAAAGTCTTAAACATTTTATTAAGTACGGACTACTGTCTGTATAATTCACAAATAAAAACACTGTCCTCTGCCAGACACACAATTTACATCTTTAGTTCCGAACTATGCAAGGAGTTCCTGCACTGATGGCTCAACTACCAGCATAGAACCAATCTAGATTCCACTCTCTTTCCACTCCTAGCTGGACACGAGCTAGCTCCCCACTCCTCCTGGCTGTGGTTAGAAACCAGGAGCAGGGAGAGGTAGGGCATGACAGGGGTTCCCATCAGGGACGAAGTGGGGCCAGTAAAAACTTGATAGGAAAGCATACTGGTGTGACCCATCTTTCCAACAGCCGAACAAGCTTCCCTTTTCCTCCATGATGCCCTCCTTACCTATTTATTATCTATAGAGTACCAAGAATGTGCAAGGTGCTTTACAGACTAGTATGAAGACAAAACACCTACACCAAGAAAGTTGCAATCCAAGTAGTCACTGAAAGGAAATTGCAGGAAGATGAATGGGCAAACTCAAAGAGCAAGGTGAGCAAACATTGAGGATGAGACATATCTTGCAAGTTCCACACTTTTCCGATTATCTTTATGTGGGGTTTATTTTCCTTTATTATATTTTTACATCTTTTCCTTTCACATTTTTGTACTTTGTATTGAGGATTCTCATTCATCTGACTAGTTAACAATTAAACTGCAGAGAGCTCTAGAGTTAATAGGCCTTTTGGAACAGGCTGTGTCATAAGGAGATTTTGAAGGTAGAGAGGGTGGATGTATGACAAAATGGGTAAGGACAGAGGCTCCAAGCATACAATCGGAGGCTATATGAAAAGAAGCAGAGACAAAATTAGGAGGGAGCACAACATGAAGCAAACAGTTAGCTGTTCTGCTTGGGCACAGCAGAGGGAGCAAGAAGAGATGATGAAAGGAAAGGTGAGTTGAAAGGTACAAGGGAGTCAAGTTGTGCAAGTCCTTGAAGGATAGGAAAAGTAGTTAGAATTTGACACAGGTGGCTAACAAGCTACTCTAAAACCTAGGAAAATGCTCATTCCCCAAGATGTTCAACAGCTGGAATATAGGTTAATCTCCAAGGGTTCACAAGGTTTCTCTTGTGTCACTTTAACTCAAAAAAGTGGAGTAGAAGTGTTCAGAGAAAGGAACACTTATGTAATTGGGGAATTCTATCCTAGTAGATTTCAGGAAGACTAAGATTATTTCGTTTGAAAGGGGAAGAGTAAGTAGTATGATAGGGGTATAAAAAAGAATAAAAATGTAGAGAAGGCTGAACATTTACTCCTATTTACCCTTTCCCATAATACAAGAATAAGAGGAAATTAGAAGAGAATTTAGAACTGATAACAGTAAAAGCTTTTTTTGTTACATTTAATTAATCTGTGAAACTGTTGGCTGCAGGGTATTCAGGCAAAAAGTTTAGCACATATCAGAAAAGGATTAGAAGATTGTTTTAAAAGAAGAGTAAGAACAGCATCTGTTACCCTAGTATACTAGCTAGGGTAAAATTACAAGGACCATCACTTCTCATACCTTAGGGCTTAAGCTGGTAAACATCTTGGGTCAGGAGGAGTTACAGTTAAGATCTGGAGAGTTCTGCTTTGTTATACATCGGAGCATTCTGAGGGTTTATACCTTGCTCTGAGGGACACTGTTTAACACAGACTGCACGATAAAACAGGATTCAGGACCAAGTGGACCATTCCTCTTTTCCACTATGCCAATTCTTACATTCCTAATTAGTCTACTCACAGAAGATTATGCCAAATTTAAATGTCCAGGAGCCTAACTCGCAACATATGCTGCTCGCACTACTGGATTAACCTAAAAAGTGTGCTATCTACACTCCCAATAACTTGTCATAGCTTAGATATTTCTCACAATATTGTACCTTCATCTGTACAACAGAGTCGTGTGGTTGTCAACAGATGGAGTTAAGTGTATTCTCCTGCCCAGGACTGTTAAATCCATCAATCAAGTTTTTGTTACAATCATCCAGGCTAATGTTTTCACTGGATATCTTGGAGTAAGTGGCCTGTCCTGTGAAATCCAAGAGATCTTCAAGAGCCTTGGCATTACTTGTTCCATTCTGGTCCATAGAACCACCGGGAATGAGTTCATTCATAGGTGAAAATTCTGGGATAGATATAAGTTCTTCTTTGGAAACAGGACTGTATGGAAGACAGAAAGGAAAACGCAGAATAAAAGTCTTGTAAGCTCTTAGGCCTGGTCTACACTAACCCCCCAATTCGAACTAAGGTACGCAACTTCAGCTACGTGAATAACGTAGCTGAAGTCGACGTACCTTAGTTCGAACTTACCGCGGTCCAGACGCGGCAGGCAGGCTCCCCCGTCGACGCCGTGTACTGCTCTTGCCGAGCAGGATTACCAGAGTCGACGGCGAGCACTTCTGGGTTCGATTTATCGCGTCCAGACAAGACGCGATAAATCGAACCCAGAAGTTCGATTGCCTGCCGCCGAACCTGCGCGTAAGTATAGACCAGCCCTTAGTGTTCATTAAAAGGTTTACGACACCCCTGAAAGCTGTTCTATTTATCCTCAGAACAGGTACAACATGCCTCAGCGCTATGTGCCCAACTCATATACAAAGGGGCCAACTTATAGAGGAGAGAAAGTAATTCTGTCTTCAGACTCCTTAAATGTTGGTCTTGGGGGTGGCTGCATGGTATTGACACAGTCCAGTAGGAACTGGACTGAGATTACAAACTCATTTCAGAGAGGCTGGATTCCAACTAGTGACCCAGAGGTTAAAAAGGCTGAATATTCCACTCCCTGTGCCATCAGATACCTTATATTTACCATTTTTAATCGCATCTTAATTCTGCAAAGGTTTACACACATACTTAACTTCATGAACAGCAAATAGTCCCACTGGCTTCAATGCATAAATTTCAGTTAAGCTTGTGGATAAACCTTTGGAGGATCATGGTCTCAGACTGTTAATTTTGCACAGTACAGATTTCAAAGATATATTCGACCATGTGAAAATTGTGAAACCACGTGAAATTTAAAAAGCTAACTTTACCAGAACAAACTAAATGCAGCACAACAAGGGAATTGAAATTCTAAGGTTGCTGGGAACTATAGTTCTGAATTCCTTTATTTTAGTAAAATCTCATATTTAATATTGCATTAATGTAGGTTTTTTAATCAATGGGTCAAATTTGGCCCTATTGCAACTCTAATTACTTCAATAGTTATGCAATGGATCCATTTGTGATGATGTTAGGTTCATTTAATTTTCATTTTTTTCATGTTATGTTATGTCTGAAGATTATACCAAGACTTTAACAAGAAAAATCTTTTATTAAAATTGCATTTGAAATGTACCCATGCCCTTTTGACTATTTGTTAGAGAAACAGGAGGAAATAAGCGAAGATTGTAGACATCTGTATATCAATGTTTGGCATAGATATATAATATATTTATAACCTTAAATATAGTGTTCATTCCCCATTAACATTATAACTAAAAATTAAATGAACCTAACATTGTAACAAATGGATCCATTGCATAATTATTGAAGTAATTAGAGTTGCATCAGGGCTTAATTTGGCCCATTGATTAAATCTACATTAATGCAATATTAAATATGAGATTTTACTAAAATCAAGGAATTCAGGACTATGGTTCTCAGCAATCTTAAAATGTCAATTCCCTTGTTGCAATAGGAGTCTTTCACCCAAGATCCCATAATGCTTGTTTACTTGCTTACTTCATATTGTTTACTTGTTGCCAAATATTTGTTAAAGTAACATGAATTAAAAGACTTAAGATTAAAATAATTGAAAATGTGAATGTTGAAATTCTAACCTGCAGCATTATTTGTACAACACAATGACTTATATGCCACTGTTTTATAGTTCTGGTACAAAACAAAATCTGATATTTGAATACCCATTTTCACAGCAATACAGCATGTGAACTCTATGGACAATCCAAAATGTCTGAGCATGTTTGTGTGCACTTGGCAAGTGAGAACTAGGGAAGAGTTAATTATTTTGCAGGATATGAGAGTGAGATAAGAGATTGTAAGTATCCTTCAATCTGAAAGTGCATTTACTTCTTGAGAGCACACTACTAGTCAGAATATACAAACAGTAGTTACACAGGAGTCCGTATTTGGGGTTGGGCTGTGCAGAGAGATAGACAGATTAACAAATGAAATGAGAGAACTGCATATGTTTGGTGGGTTGGTTTTGGTTTTCTGAACAGTTTCTTAAAAGTTACGTGTTTCATGTGACGTGTACCTCACATCCATAGACTGAACCTCATCTGTTGAATCATCCATGCTGTTAGATTTCCCATCAATGGCACCCAGCTGAATAAGCCCCGTAACTGACTTAAGTCCGTTAGAAAATATATCTCGAGAAAGTGTTTCAGCAGCAGCACATCCTAAGCCTTGATTCTCCTGGCAGGCTGTCAGTCCATTGATTTCTATAAAAGAACCTCATTAGGAAGCAATAGCAGTGTTTATATTTAAAAATCACAAAATTATTTGAGTCATAGAAATTAGAGACGAAAGTGACTCATCATATTATCTTGTCAATCACCCTGCTATTGTAGGACAGTTTGAAAAAGAAACAAGATAATATATTATCTTTTATAACATGCACAGAGAAGCCCAAGAGAAGGGGAAAAAATACGGAAAAGTCACACTTCACTATTTACACATTTTTCATTTATCATTCTTTAATATACATATGCTGTTAGCAAACCAAATTAAATGCAAAAGGGACTGTATTTTAAAACAATGTTTAAAAAGCATGTCAAGCTTGGCTGTAGGGGAGAATATTTCTAGAGAATCTACAAAACAGGAATGTAGACTACAATGAACAAAGAAATCTGCAGGCTAGAATAACTTTTATATAAATGCTATCTGGGACATGCTGTGGAGTAGGATATTACCCATCAGGATAGTTGTCTTCTGCTTCTACATCAGGGATAGGCAGCCTTTGGCACACGGCCCACCAGGGTAAGGCCCCTGGTGGGCCAGGCCAGTTTGTTTACCTGCCGGGTCCGCAGGTTCGGCTGATCGTGGCTCCCACTGGCCGAGGTTCGCCGTCCCAGGCCAATGGGGGCTGCGGGAAGCGGCACGGGCTGAGGGATGTGCTGGCTGCCACTTCCCGCTGCCCCCATTGGCCTGGAGCGGCGAACCGCGGCCAGTAGGAGCCACGATCGGCCACACCTGCGGACGCGGCAGGTAAACAAACCAGCCCGGCCCGCCAGGGTGCTTACTCTGGTGGGCTGCGGGCCAAAGGTTGTCGATCCCTGTTCTACATTTACCATGCTTTGGTAAATCAAAGATGTTCTATTTTCTTATGTTTAACATATTTACACATAAATGTAGCTGTTCCTTTTCTGAATGAAAACACAGCATCTGTGACAATACAGCACTATCTGAGGTTATGGATTTTTGTTTTCAAGTTATCAAGACTGAATATTGGTCAAAACAAAAATGAAGGGCTTTTACCTGTTTGATTGAGAACAAGAGTTTTTGGTTGCTTTTCCACAGTCAAAGTTGATGGTATCTCCAGTTTTGGCTCTTCCTTCTGTAACCAAATAATGTTTAAACTTCATTAGATGCAAGGTCCTAAGATTCAGGGAATTGACTGGACTCAGAACCTTTAAAAAACTCTGCTGGTTAATAAACAATTGTTCCTAGAATGCTTTTTCTCAATTACATTCAAGCACATAAAACAAAAACTACAAAACACATTTTATCTTTAGGCTGCATCTATCATAGAAGTATTCCCTACACTGCCAGAGTAGTTACTCTGAGAGTACACATGGCCTTGTGAAATTATCCTCAGTTCCCCTTTTGGGATGGAGAGGCACAAGGTGTGAGAGGAAGACCAAGGGAAGAGCAGAGGCTCAAGTGATGGTGGTAGGGGAGTAGACAGGATAGGACAGTGCCAGAAAGAGGTCAGAAAGTTGACGGAGATGGATGGGGAAATCCTGCATGGCTGGGAGAATGGGGGTTGAAGAAAGACAAGATGCAAGGGATGTAGTTTAAATTAGGCCACAATTTTATTAACTCATTTTGGAAATACCTGGCAAGGATTGTATGGTGCTGATCATTCTTTCCTTAATAATTCCCACCTATCTGCGAAGGCTGCCAACAGCCGTCTGGACTTCCTGCCTGGCCCCAGCTCATTGCTGGCTCCTCACTGCCCTTCTCTCATGTGAAGGTTAAGAAGTGGTGGGGATACGAGATTGTCTTCCTGCTAGACCAGACGGTAGGAGTTCCACTTCCCGAGGAGATGCCCTTCCCATATATCCACTTCCAACTGGTTCATCAGGGAACCGGATCCTCCATGCAATGAGTAACGTCACTGGATACCTACTAAGCTGAGACAATTTGAACCTTTCCTCCTGACCTGCCCCACCAGGTCCCTAAGCTGCAGAAAACCCCCACTCCATCTCAGCCACTCTGGCAGTGAGAGAAATTCCTTCCCAGGCCCCAAAAAAGAAGCTGGTGTAATGTCCGCCATAGACAATAAAACCCAATCTTACTATGATCCATGGGTGGGAGCTACTGTCCTTGGGAATGAAATATAAATACTAGGGCTGTCAAGTGATTAAAAATATTAATTGCAATTAATCGCACTGTTAAACAATAATAGAATACCATTTATAGAAATATTTGTGGATATTTTCCACATTTTCAAATATATTGATATCAATTACAACACAGAATACAAAGTGTACAGTGCTCACTTTATATTTATTTTTGATTATAAATATTTGCACTGTAAAAATAAAAACTCATATTTTTCAATTCACTTAATACAAGTACGGTAGTGCAAACTCTTTATCGTGAAAGATCAACTTACAAATGTAGGATTTTGTGTTACATAACTGCACTCAAAAACAAAACAATGTAAAACTTAAGAGCCTACAAGTCCACTCAGTCCTACTTCTTGTTCAGCCAATCTCTCAGACAAACAAGTTTGTTTACATTTGCAGGAAATAATGCTGCCCGCTTCTTGTTTACAATGTCATCTGAAAGTGAGAACAGGTGTTCGCATGGCACTATAGCCAGCGTTGCAAGATATTTACGTGCCAGATGTGCTAAAGATTCATATGTCCCTTCATGCTTCAACCATCATTCCAGAGGACCATGCGTCCATGCGGATGATGGGTTCTGCTCATCATCCAATCCAATCATCCAATCCAAAGCAATGCATACCAATGCATGTTTATTTTCGTCTTCTGAGTCAGATGCCACCAGCAGAAGGTTGATTTTCTTTTTTGGTGGTTCGGGTTCTGTAGTTTCCACACCGGACTGTTGCTCTTTTAAGACTTCTGAAAGCATGCTCCACACCTCGTGCCTCTCAGATTTTGGATGGCACTTCAGATTTTTAAACCTTGGGTCAAGTGCTGTAGCTATCCTTAGAAATCTCTAAGGATTTCTCTGGTACCTTCCCTGTGTTTTGTAAAATCTGCAGTGAAAGTGTTCTTAAAATGAACAACATGCTGGGTCATCATCCGAGACTGCTATAACATGAAATATATGGCAGAATGCAGGTAAAACACAGAGCAGGAGACATAAAATTCTCCCCCAAGGAGTTCAGTCACAAATTTAATTAACGCATTATTTTTTTAACAAGCGTCATCAGCATGGAAGCATGTCCTCTGGAATGGTGGCCAAAGCTTGAAGGGGCATATGAATGTTTAGCATATCTGGCACGCAAATATCTTGCAATGCAAACTACAAAAATGCCACGTGAATGTCTGTTCTCACTTTCAGGTGACATTGTAAATAAGAAGTGGGCAGCACTATCTCCCGTAAATGTAAACAAACTTGTTTCTCTTAGTGGTTGGCTGAACAAGAAGCAGGCCTAAGTGGACTTGTAGGCTCTAAAGTTTTACATTGTTTTGGTTTTGAGTGTTAAAAAAAAAAAATCTACATTTGTAAGTTGCACTTTCACGATAAAAAGATTGCATTATGGTACTTGTATCAGGTGAATTGAAAAATACTACTTTTATCATTTTTGCAGTGCACATATTTGTAAGAAAAATAATATAAAGTGAGCACTGTATTCTTTGTTGTAATTGAAATCAATATATTTGAAAATGTAAAAAACCACTCAAAATATTTAATAAATTTCAGTTGGTATTCTGTTGTTTAACAATGCGATTAAAACGGCGATTAATCGTAATTAATTTTTTTAATTGCTATTAATTTTTTGAGTTAATCGCATGAGTTAACTTTGATTAATCGACAGCCCTAATAAATACCTTTGTGACACAGAGGCCCACTGGTGGTTCACTACTCTGTGTCAGCAACTCATCAGGCCTGACATACTCACTACACCTCACACACTGTTGTCATGATATATACCCAAAAAGTGGCATGTAATATATCATTTGAAAACTAGTAACTCACTGATCATTAATATTCTTGTATGATGTATGCATGGAGTGTGTAAAAGAGTTATGGATATGTGCTAGAATTATGTTCTCAAAAATGTGTTTGGCAAGCAATGTATAAGCACAGATTGCTGTAAACAAAAGAATGTGCATTTGTTTGTCTGACCCACCTGGTCATCAGGCAGAGACACGAAGGCACATTTACATAAAAGATTTTAAAAAGCCACCAACCTAGCATGTGCGGGAGATATCCCCTGGATGGATCTGAACTTCAATGGTAAGTAACAGAATCAACTGACTGTACACAATATTACAGTATTAGCAAAGTGTACAGTCAGCGGAAGGTTTTTTCTGAAAGCTGATGACACACTGGTGATTAATATAATTGTGAAATGTACATATTAACAATCTACGAGAAAATATGGATACTTAAGGACATTATGCTTTAAAGTCTGTACCTAAAAGCAGGGAAAAACAGGTTTCTCCCAGACAGGAGAGAAGTCAGCTATCTATCTGTCTCCACTGACATTAAGCGAGGTGTGACCAAAAATAATGGAAGCACCATTTACATACGAATCAGCAGGGGGATGGGAAGTCCACAGGAAGGGAAGAACAGCATGACGTAATCCTGGGTCTGGGGACAAAAGAGTGAGTTTGGGAAGATAATATAAGGCAAGCGGAAGAAGCCATCATGGCATCTATCACTAGGCCAGAGCTCTTGCAAGCCGACAAAGACAAGTCCTTGAACCAAGGGGGTTGAAGTTTCTGAGAACTGAATATAAGCGAGAAACCTGCTTAGGCAAAGATCTGTCACCTAGGAAGACAAGGGAAACCAGCCCCTTGTACTTCTGTGGAAGGTCCTGACTGAGAGAAAGTCAGGCATGGCTGGAAAGAAAAAGATTGGTAAGAAATCTACCTCAAACAAAGGCTATAGCTTGTTGAGTTAAGTCTTAGCCACTAGAAAGTGTATTTTTACTTTTGTCTGTAACCCTTTCTATCTTTATTCCTTCTATTTGGTATCACTTAACCTATGCCCTTTTGTTAATACCCTTGTTTTATACCCCAACTCCTCAGTGGTATGTTTGAAGGGATGGGTGTATTTACCCCAATTAAGGTAAAAAGCACTAATTTGCTTTTGTCTCTTTGAAGATGCAAACGAACTATATTATTTCTCTGAGTGTTCCAGGAGAAGTCAGGACACTTCAGGGCAGACAGTTTTGGAGAAATTGGAGACTGGTGGTATGTTGGGGTCACTTGGCTAGCAGTAACCAAGGCTGCTGGAGACCAGTGTGTGGCTATGGTGAAACAAGCAGGCAGTTGGAGTCAGAGTTGCTGAATCAGGGCTCTTACCACATGGATAGTCAGGGCACACAGGGTCACTGGGCAGATCGTGGCACAACCCCTTACTGGTCAGGGATTGCACTCGAAAACCTCCTCCCTCCCCAAGGCGTCCATGGATTAGTGGCCCACCTGTGCCATTTCCAGTCCTCCCCTGGCTCAAGTGAGGTTCCCCTTCTGCCCCTCAACCCAAAGGAGGGGAACCCTTAAAGGAGTCACATCCCCCATTTCTTCCCCCTGGTCAGACAACACCTTCCCCTCATATGCCTAATGTCTGGTAGCTTTTAGAGAAATGTAGACAGGAGAGAGGATTTTTCTGGTTTTGTCTTTTTAAAGAAAACTAGAGCCTCTTAAGCTAAATATAGAAACAGCTTCCCTAAAAGAAAATTTTATGAAGTAAAAGTCTGAAGTGAGAGTCAAACACTTTACCTCCATCCATTGAGTGCTGGTGCATCATCAGGCACCTCTGCTCTGCTGTTAATCCCGCCCCGTGATCAGAATTAACATGGAGGAGCACAAGAGCTCTATGACCGATTAATTCAACATCATCAAAATGGAGGAAGTGCATTGCATAGGCAAAAGTCACAAAGATACCAGATCTCAGCACTACAGTTCTGAACACTATATATGGCTCACCACCTCCACTGCCTAGGAGAGTAGTACTGACCTCACGGTGCTGCCACAACTATAGTCACTCTTAATTCTAAAATCTAACGGAAAAATAAGAATAGAGCATTTCTAGTCAAAGCATTTATTCTCCAGGGAGCAATCCTACAGTGTCCCTCCCCCGCCCTGCCACCCACACCCACTGGGGAAATATCCTGGGAGCGGGGTGTGTGGGGGGGGCACTCTGTTCCATACCTTTACTTCTGGTGTTTCACTCTTTCTTGTTCTCTTCATTATTTCATCTATTCGCTAGAAAGCAATGTAAATCAATCACATCAGAAGGTTACAAGGCAGACATGCTATGAAGCTGGGAGAGAGGGCTCATGGGATTGGTAATGGGCAGCAAGGAAGGTTGATTTAACTCTGGTGTCACAAACTTATCTCTGCCCTCACTAGAAAGGAAGAAGACAGAAGGTACATCTACACTGCAATAAAAGACCCGCAGCATGGCTGTGGCTGGCCTGAGTCAGCTGAATTGGATTTACAGGGCTAAAAATGGCAATGTAGGTGTTTGAGCTCACGCGGGAGCCCAGAGGGGTGGGTCTCAGAGGATGAACTCCAGCCTGAAGCCAAACACTGCAATTTCTGGCCCTGCAGCCCAAGCCCTGCGAGCCCAAGTCAATTCATCCAGGTTCTGAGACTTGGTGCCATGGGTTTTTTATTGCAGTGTAGATGTACCCAGAGAAGAAGAGAGGAAGAAGAGAAGGGAGCTCTCTTTGCAATCACAATTCCAACAAACTGAATTTCTCACCAGGTGCAAATTAGTAGATAAAAAATAAATAAAAAGGTTTGTGATGATGAGCCCCCTGTGTCCACTTCCTGAACAAAAAGTTTGTCAGCTGAACACTAATTGCTCAAGTCTCCAACTACTGCTTCTTCAGACCACAAAGTCATCAGTAGTCCTCTAGTATTGCAATCCATTTGCTATTTAAAATGAAACACTTTTATATAGTTGTACCAATTTTGTTTATTGGGAGGAGGGGAGGGAATAAAACATGTGAAGTTACTCCTGTTAGAAATGTGTCAAATACAGCTGTAAAATCCTTCTTTTCTGCTTGTTAATTCATCAAATGCATTATGTCTTTGCCCAGAGAGTTATATACTTAAAGTAAACTATTTTAGATTTAAAGACATCACTTCTAGTTCTTGTGTTCCAATGTACAAGTGGTTGACCCTACTAAAGTTAAACCCCTCCACCCTCCAAGACTAATAATTTGGAATGAAACTGGAAGAAAACACACTAAAGGGAAGGCTTTTATAACAACTTTCCAAGCATCTCTTAACTAAGCTAAAGACAAAGATTTCTAGAAATCTGGGGGAAATTCTGTCCAGCCACCTATGGGCATGCAGTGTGACTAAGCACTACATGGATGCTTTGCAGGGTGTGGGTATGGAGTTACATAGAAGCACCAGCCATTTCCCTACTTGAGGGAAACAACTGCAGTAGTGGCCATAGAGTGGCTCTGCTGTTGCTCCTCCATCCCCTCAGAGTAGGGTGGGAGGAGAATGCTTTTTCCAACTGGATAACATACTATTTTTTCTGCAGAGTACAAATCACTTTCTCAATTAAAAACTGCATATTTATTTAAAGCAAACATACCCCTGTTATTGTTTTTAACTTTCTGTGGCTTAGAAGTTTGAGTGGGAACCATCACTCTGCTTGTACGTTATACCCTCTTCTCCTACCCTTTGTCTTGTCCATTTAAATTGTAAGCTCCTCAGAGCAGGGACAGTCCAATACTGTGTTTGTACAGTGCCTAGAACGATAGGGCCCCATTCTCAGTGGGCACCTAGGCACTGCCTTAATTATGAATTAAAAATAATAATAAAACAACAACTAATAAGTTTGTTACAAACTCTGAGGTACATGTTTCTCCAGGTTGGAAACTAGCTAATACGGATTAGGTTTTAAAAAACAAACCTGGAACTCTGCCTACTCAACTGAATGTTTGTTTTGGATATTTTTGGGCAGGTTTCTGGATTTATGCATTTAAAATAACAAAAGGTACTAGTTCTTTTAAATTGGAGATGAACACCTACCTTCTTTCTCTCCAGTCTTTCTTGCTCAATCTGCTGCATGATTTGTTCCCTTTCCAGCCGCATGTTTTCAGCTGCCTCTCGGGCCTTTGCTTCAGCTTCTTCTCTCTAATTAAAATGCGTAAGCTAAGGTAGAGCCGTTATTTAATTTAGACAAATTATCAGATTCTATAAAATCTTACATAGCCTGCCAGGTATGGATTATCGGCCTAACTGTCAGCAAGCCTCTTACACAAGAGAAAGAGTAAGAGGTTTCCGTTTCATTAGACTGCACGTCCCGTTGTAAAAGGGATCACTGAAGATTACATTTTTTCGAGATTACACTTTATCTTCACTGCAGTGTCCCTCTGCTTTCCACTTGATCTAAGAAGCAATGGACTCTAAAATTCATAGATTCTAGGACTGGAAGGGACCTCGAGAGGTCATCGAGTCCAGTCCCCTGCCCGCATGGCAGGACCAAATACCATCTAAGTGCTCTTCAATAACGTTTCCACACTCGTAGTTTTTTATAACGTTCATAAATAAAGATGGGGTCCCCATTTTCTGAAATGCTGAGCACACCACGTTTCCAGTGATTCAACTGGAGTTGCTGTTCTCAGAACATCTGAAAATCAGGTCCATTGCTTGTAGGCAGATTGTATTTTAGATTTCTGCTCTTTTAACGGGAGTTCTTGCAAGAGAGATCTTGTACTATACCTGTTTTTCAAGCTTGGCCTGCAGTTCTTTTTCTTGCTTTTCCTTTAGCATTTTTTCTTCCTCAGCTCTCCTTCTGGCATCGTCCTCTGCTCTTCTCCTAGCCTCTTCCTCTTCACGCCTTCTTTCCTCCTCTCTCTTACAAGCTTCTTCTTCTAGGCGAATTCTTTCTTCTTCTGTCTTTCTTTTCAGCTCCTCTCTCTCTAGCCTTCAAAAAAACAGCAGCACATTTAAAAATGCAGCACACGTTGCACTTTGTTTAACACAGAACTCAAAGGCGCACAGAGCGCATCATGCACTGTATGTACAGAATGTAATTTGGCTGCGAATAAACACTTCTACATACATTTGTATGGAATGGGCTCTGACACAATGGAGGGATTGGCCACAACTCCATAATTCAAGTTGCAACCAGGCTTCCATTCTAAGCTTTATTCACCCCATCTAATGTTTTGCAGGAATAACATTTCCCTTTGAACACTGATGTGACTAAAGTGGGACAGAACAAGAAACGTGTTTGTAATTTCAACTCCAGTATGTAGAACTAACATTTTTCAAGTTTTGAGTAGTTAAAAAGGACCCTTATTCCCACTTTTGCCTTATGATAACCTCACCTCACTCCTGTCCATCTGAGGAATGAAGTTATTTTTGAACATGCAAATGCCCTCCCTTGGTAAAAATAGTGAGAGAGCCCCAGAAGGAAGGGAAAGCACATACCTGATAATGCCTCCTTCAGAAGCTTGCTAAGCTGTGTGTTTGCGATGCTGTGGGTCTGACAGGTCCCATTTTGGGATCAGGAAAGAATTTTTCCCATTGGGCCAAACTGACTGAGGCCCAGTGGTTCAATCTTTTCACCCTCCTCACAGCATCATGGAGTTAGATTAAAAGAAACAGGGTATGGAATTTTAATATTAGCAATTTATAGGAACGGTTAGTTTGTCACAATTTGCAGCTGGTGTCCAGTGTGGCAAAAGGCTAAAAGAGCCAGCTTCCTGAGGTAAGAGAGACCTGGAATTTTGCTGGTGGCCCTTGCATCTCTGGGAAAAGGGGAAACCTGAAATCTTTGCAGACCAAACCTTTGGTATCGTCTAATCCCCTCGGGGGCAGAGGGTGAGAGATTCAGAAGTGGGCTATGTTGTAGGGGTAGGCTGAGTAGGTTCTCTCCCCAGTTATTAATTATATGATGTGAGACCTGCAACTAAATGTGTGGTATGAGAGAGACCAGGTGGGTGGGACACACATAATGCCGTTCCCCAGCGTTAAGTCAATAAAGTTGTGGCCTGCTGCTTAAATCCATCCCTGTTTTAATTCACTTGTGTGTCCTGCTCAATTCATGAGTGCATGTGTCCAGAAACAATATCTCATGACACGGAGAGCTAAGGGGGTCAGGAGTACAGAAACTCATGTCTATTAGCTCCACAGAGCACGTGGAAGTAAGGGTAAAACTCCTACCTTTTGAATTGCTTAAAGTTTCGTACTTTTACAAGTAAACTGGCTTTAAAAAAAAAAAAACACACAGCCAAGTTTAGAGCCTCAGCACTTCAAATTTTACACACATAAAGCTCGACACACTTGACAGGAGAGATTGCACACTACTTTGCATCTGTACGCCTAAAACCTTAAGGAGGTCAGGATAGTTGGGAGCTAACCCTTCCATCCAGCGCTAAGCCTCTCATGGTCCTTGGGCTACCTGACTGTCTATGGAGCTTTCTCTCCCCAGTGCAAGAGAGAGAGACTGACTCTGCTCTATAGCCTTAGCTCTGAGACAGTTGGCTTTTAGCTCATTCACTAAGAGGCTCATGCACTAAGCTCCCAGGGTCCCAGGTTCAATCCCGCCCACTGACGACCAGGGTCTGTCGGCGTTACATTTGTACAGTACTTTTTTATAATGGGCCACTGACCTTAGACTTCTGGGTGCTAAAACTACCACCACTAATTTTCTTTTTGTTTTTTTTTTAATGACAGCAAGTACCTTTCCCGCTCTTCTCTCTCCTGTCTCTCCTGTTCTTCTTGTTCTTTCTGCAGACGAGCCTGCCGTCTTTTCTCTGCCAGAATTTTTGTAGCTTCTTCTGCATCAGTAGTTCCTGCTGTGAGCTTCCCTGGTGGAGCATTGTGATTAGAATGTTAGTCAGGAAATGAAAAAAAGGAAGCATAGCGCATACATATATATACTTTGTAACATGTATTCAATAAGCATGTTATCTTTTCACAGTAGCCTACTGTTTCCCATTCCCCTTATCTACCTCACAAGTACTTTTTTACATCCCTCATGCACTGGAAACTTCTTAGGGCAAGGTATTTATTTTGTGTATGTCTACAAAGTACCAGGCATTTTAAAGCAGCTGATACAGCCATAGAAATAAGATTAATATCAAAATAACTTCATTGTGTGGTGAAGTATTTTAGATCACAACTGCTGTAGAGATTTAGCTGCACCTTAAAAGAAAGATGTAGACAATATTTTCAAGTGGCATCTACTGTCTAGCTAAATAGACCCTGATCCTGCTCAGACAGAGCCCAGCACTTCAGGAAAGTACCAGACTGAATAAAGTTAAGTTCTGAAAACCTGGCTTAAGTGTAAGGAGTATTCAAGGAGCTCATTTTTCTAAGGACTGTTGACTTCAAATGATTAGCACAGCTGAAGCTGAAGCACCTTGTTAGCATGAAAAACAAAAATGGAAAAAATAAGGGGTTTTTAACTGATCATTTTGATACGAAGAGGATAGTAAAGAAAAAAAGTTTGAATCCAAAATTGGCAAGATTTTTTTTTAAAAAAAGGAAGCCTATGCCTAGGCTCCTAAATCCATACTTAGGCATCTAAATAAGTGACTTGATTTTCAAAACCGTGCATCCTTCTGCTTCCATTGATGAAAATGACTAACGTCATAACTTCCGGCTCTTGTTTTTGAAAACCTTGGTCCAGGAGATGCATTGATGGGAATCCTCAGTTTGGCCACCTCAACTTGCATTTTTATAATTAAGAATTTATCCACGTCACCACAATGGAAATTATATAACTAGTGATTTAAATAGATACTGCAAACTTCAGATTTACAAGTAGCTTTGGGAAAAGAAAGAAATGCCCTTGTTTAAAAGCATCGTGTACCTGCAGCGGCTTTAGATATATCCTTGCCACAAAACCCACCTTCACTGCTTTCAGTCTTTCCTGCAGAAGGCACATGTTTCTCAGCAACTGCTTGGCCCACAACCTCCTCAGTGGAAGACAGCTGGGGTTTGTGGTTAGTGGTGTTCTCTTTCTCCTTGTCTGCTTTCTTTTTAGGAGTCTCCTGGCTGAGATTAGAGGTGACACGGTGCTTCACAGGAGATGCAGGATATTGTTTAACATTTTTAGGAGACTGTGGATACGTCTTTGTAACTGTCCTGGGGTGGGGTGGAAGAGAAGGAGGGAAAAGTCACACACACACCATTAATTGTATGTGATTTAGTATGAAGTTCTATCTTAACAGATATTTGCTACTCCTTTCTTGTAGGCTTTGACACAGTATCTCAGACTATCAAAGAAATGAAATGCTAGTGATAGGGAGAGTGTGTTTAGATAGATAGAAGAGTATGTAACTTACTGGCCTGAATTTATTATATATACATACGTACATCCCCCACCCCACCCACATCACTACCCTTTAGGAGATGGAATGTAGGACCTGGCTTGTGTGGTTATCAGTTCCTCTACTGGCTGAACCAGTGGAGCTCCTCGTTTAAATCATGTACTAGAGGCCTGTGTTTAAGCAAAATGCATTATTTTGTTTTTATCCATACATCCATCCAATTATTAAGTCAGCTGTTGCCATAGCATTTAAGTGCTGATGCCACTTGTATGAAGTTAAGACAACTAGTGTGTCTGTATGTCAACTTCCATGGTGTAGATAAGAGAAGCGGTACACTTATGGTGCTTTGCCCCACAGGCAGTACCAGATTTACCTGGCCCACGGTCCAAAGGGGTCCCAGCCGCTCTTCTCCCCCCCGCCCCTGTGGGAGCAGAAGCTTGATGCTGCTGGCTTCTGGGACTCCTGCTGAAGCAGGGCAGGCTCTGCCGGCAGCCAAGCTCCTTCCCTGCCTCTTCCCCTAGCTTGCTATGTTCCTCCCCTCCCCCTCTCCCTGCCGCCAATTAGCTGTTTGCCAGCAGGACGGAGGGGGAAGAGCGGAGCCTCAGCGCGCTCGCCGCTCAGGGGAGGGCGAGGGGGAGAGGCGGGGGCAATGCCTTGGAGAAGGGGCTGGAATTGGGGCATACCCCCTCTATCCCCCTGCCGTGAGCACCCCCACGACCCCAGACCACACCCACAGCCCTCTGCCCACCCTGACCCCTGCACCCCCTCACACCTGCCAGCACTCCCGCACACCCCCACAGCCCCCTGCACCCCCTCACACACCCCCAGCCCCCTGCTCTGACTCCTGCAGCCCTCTCACACACACCCAGCCCTCCCACACCCCATGCCCTGACTCCTGCACCCCCCCACATCCCCACCCCCATCCTGAGCACCAAACAGGGGCTCCTGTCCCCCCCCCCATTCCCACCTGCACCCCTCACACCAAACAGGAGCTGCCCCAGGTAAGCGCTCCACACACCAACCTCCTGCCCCAACCCTCGCCCTAGCTCCTGGCTAGACCCCACACCCCAACTTTTTTTACAATATTTGGAAAGATCATTAAGTGGTCCATTGAGACCCTCCGTGATTTTCAAATGGTCTGTGGAAAAATAAGTTAGACTACAAGAACAATCAAGGTACCATACTTTATTTTCATTGACTTGCTATTACTTATAGGAGGAGGATGAAGGGAAAAAAGAATGAAAAACAGGGACGGGGGAGATAAGAGAGAATGTTCTTTTTCTTGGCTGGGTCCTAAGGAGGGACCCCAAAAATGAAGCTGGCTGTCACATCACCTGGGCTGGGGATACTGCGTCAGCTGATCCCCACAGTCTCCAACCTACCTGGGCAGTACAGCAGACATGGTCCTGCCCACTAGCTCCTCTCCACTCCCTAGCCCACCCACCACTTGCTTCCCTCCCCCTCCCTCCCCCAAGGCTTAACCCTCTCACTTTTAAAAATGATTGCTTCCCTCCTCCCCCCCCCTCCAGGCTTTTCTTGCAGCCCTGTTGCCAGGTATCCAGTTTTAGACTGGAAACTCCAGTAGAAAATGGGACCTGAGTGTCCGGTTAGCAGTGTTGACTGGAAGCTAAAACTCCGGTTATAGGAGTAACCACATTAGCCTCTGCTCCTCCCACTCCCAACACCCACCTCAGAGAGCTGGAAGAGAATCTGTCCTGCTGCTGCAGGAGGAGGAGCAGCTCAGTGCAGAGAGAGATGAAGAGAATGAGCTAGAACCAGTTAGGTACCCGCTGTATGTGGGCAGGGGCCGGGGGTGGGGGGAGAGGAGGGGGATCCTGTTTACCCCCTCCCCAGCCCTGCTGCGCTTGCAGTTTACCCCGGCCCCTCCCTTGCTCCAGGGAGGAACTCTAGCTCCTGCCCCACTGTGCTTTTGCCCCCGGCCCCTTTTACAATAATTCCCCAGGGGGGCCCACAAATATGTTTGGTGCCAGGCCCACAAAGTTAATCCGGCCCTGCCCACAGGCTGAAGTAATGGAATCCTTCCTTTGCTACAAATACACTGGAGAGAGAGAGAGAGAGAGAGAGAGAGAGAGAGAGGCAGGCAACATTGATATGTGGAAATAACTTGATTAACTAGTTAAAGCTCTGGGAAGATCAGTACAATGAAGTTTCGGAATACCACGCCTACCCCCTTTACAAATTACAGTCCAGATTTTGCATAATCATCTTGAACATAGCAAAGAATTCAACAGACATCACTAGGTTAGATTAATTTTTCAATCTGAGGAGGGACAGATTTCTCTATCTTCTCAACTAGACCCTTAGTATATAGGAATAACTTTCTGTGAGTCAAAGCATGGCGTCCCTAGACTCTGTTTGTTTGTCAGAGGGTGGAGATGGATGGCAGGAGAGAGATCACTTGATCATTACCTGTTAGGTTCACTCCCTCTGGGACACCTGGCATTGGCCACTGTTGGTAGACAGGATACTGGGCTGGATAGACCTTTGGTCGGACCCAGTACGGCCGTTCTTATGTTCTTATGTTATCAACGGTTGGAAATGGGCCATCCTGATTATCACTACAAAAGGTTTTTTTTTTTTCTTCTGCTGCTAATAGCTCACCTTAATTAATTACCCTTGTTACTGTTGGTATGGCAACATCAATTTTTTCATGTTTTCTGTGTGTATATATATTTTCCTACTGTATCTTCCACTGCATGCATCCGATGAAGTGGGTTTTAGCCCACGAAAGCTTATGCTCAAATAAATTTGTTAGTCTCTAAGGTGCCACAAGTACTCCTCGTTCTTTTTACGTAATTTAGGTATCCAAGTTCTATTTTCAGAAGTGATGTAGGAACTTTGGTGCCTAATTTTCATGGAAAGTCATTTTTCAAAATGGGACTTAGGTTCCTTTAAAAGATATGCCCCTAGTCTAGATAGGGCTGGTGTGTGTGGGGGAATTGTGTATCCAAACAACTTCTTTCACAGTCCACTCTCCAAGCAGAGTCTATTGACAGAAATTTCCCCTTTTTGTTCTTTGCTGTGTCCCTGCACTCCCCTTCTATCTGTGTGTGTCCAAATTTCATTTCAGTTAGAATGTAAACTGCTTGGGGAAATGACTTTGTTTTATTCACATGTAAAATATCATGCACACCAATGGCACAAAATAAATAAATGAAGTATATCAGCTACATAGGGAAACCCTTTTAGCTTTCATATGTATGTGTTTGTGCGTGTGTGTTAATGTTCAACGTTAAAGCTAAAACCATCCCTATATTTTTTATTTAATAAAATAAAATTTGTAAATAAAAATTGATAGCCATCCCTCAGTCTATACTTTTCCTTTGCACAGAGGATATTATTTCCCAACCAGATTGCATTCACCCTCTACCTCAGTTTCTTGGATCACCTTTTCCATTTCACAACACATTTCTGGCAAATCTGTTTTAGTAGTTGTGGCAGGAGGAGAAACAGTCATAGAACTAAGGCTGAGTCATCACTTTTAGCATTACCAAAGCAGTAATTATATTCTGATTAAGGGATGACGACAGGTTTATATTAAAGAGGTTGGTAGGGAAGGAGCTTAGTAATGAGCAATTAAATCTCTTGATCTACTTTGAGGACTATGACAGAAGAAGAACTGCACAGCATACTACACTGGAGCCAAAACGTGAGTTAAAACGGTAACTTGAGGAATAAATCTCTCTACATTTTAATTTGTGGTTGTCTGATGAGAGGAAAAGAGAACAGTGGTTTACTTGTTTTGATATTTGCAAAAAGCCAGAAATAAAACCTATAACAACTGTAAAAAATATTGCACAGTGACAGAGGAACAGCTGTTAAACAAAATTTATATCAGCAATAAGAATCTGTATTCTGAAGTTTTCAAATCCCACATTAGGTGCCAGTCAGAAATATATAAAAAGGAACATTGCTTTGATCTGATTGTTTTCTCTTTGCATTTAAGAGCACCATAAATTGACACTTCTAGCATTCCTCTATTCCAAGATGCCAGCAGGGGTCATTATTTGAAGCAAGTATCTCCTCTTCTTTTTTCTCTTTGCTGAAAGGCTGAACCCAAATGTGTAGAGCCCTGAGTGGATACAAAAATTTGTACCCACATCTGATCTGCAAAAATTGTCTGCAGATCTCCGCCGGTTTGCAGGGATCTACTAATAGCTCCACAGGTCACCGCGCAGTGACTCAGGGGTATGCCAAGCACCCGCTTCCCAACTGCCCTCCACTTCTCCCCAGAGACCTCCTGCCCTGCCGCCCACGTTTTATCTCCTTCCCCACTCCGGGCAGGGAGGCTACAATCCTGGGCACTCATATGCAGCACCGCCCTCCCAGTGGGAGGCTCGGACACCCCTATGCAGCTGCAGTGGCTCTAACACACGCAGACCAGGCTGGGATAGACAGTGGCAACAACTACTCTCCTCACCATGCCTGCAGTTGCTGCCCACTAATTTAAAGTACAACCACACCTCTTTCAAAATGGCATTTTGCTCATTCCCTTCTGGGAATTATAGTTCACCTCCACTGTCAGAAGCTGGGGACAACTCCTCCCACATTGCCACTTATTGCAGCCAGCTGCTCTGTGATTCAGAGAGCCGAGCTGGAGCCTGAGGGCTGGGTGACAGCCGCTCCATTCAGGTGAGCGTGTGAGGCAGAGCCTTGGGGCTGGTCTACACTGGGGGAGGGGGGGGAGGGATCGATCTAAGATACGCAACTTCAGCTACGCGAATAGCGTAGCTGAAGTCGAAGTATCTAAGATCGAATTACCTGGGGGTCCACACAGCGCAGGATCGATGGCCG